AGGCTGTAGCTTTTAGCAGTCAAATACCTTTGTCACTCTCAATATAATCTTGGCGATGGAAATTAAAATGTTACCTACAGGGTTTTGCTTTTAAAAGTAAAATGCTGCCAGTTGGGTGGCTGTTATGTTGGTATTGTATGTATCTAATAATGCAGTTTTTAATGTCTGCAGTCCATACACTGATAACTTTACCTTTTACAAGAAGCCGGTCAATATAGTTTCTACTGCCCAAATGGGCTGATTATTCACAAATGCCTCATCTGCCTCTATTGGAATCCTGTGACTTTGATGGCGGCCATTATGCAGCCTTTTTAAAATCTCTCGGAAGTGGGCAGGCTAATCAGTTCTCTAGAATACCATATAAAATATATCTATTTACTGTGTTCGTTCTCCAGGAAAAGCAAGTGCCCTTTATAACTCACTAAAACGGTTATTGTCAAGGAGGAAGGCTGGTGACCCACTTTGCTGTTGCCCTGAAATAGTCACTCCTGTAGGGTGGTCTTAATAGCTTTTCCTGCCCCCTTTTTTTTTTTTTTTTTTGTCACTGATCTGACAGTGGAGGGTTACCAAAAAACAATGGTAGAATGGCTAATAGAAGTGGGTGATTTTGAAGTAGAAATGTTCAAATGCATATAATCACAAAGTGTACCTGTTGGTATTGGAATCACTCTGGTAAATCTTTTAGAGGATGTCATGCTATGAACGGTGGTGTTCTAGAACTGGAGTTGGTGTGTGACACTCTTATGGCATTCCATGGCCTTAAAACCTGGAACCTACAAAGTCTCTCACTGACTTCTCCTTCTCAGAAAATTGTAGCTGACTAAATATCATTCAATGCATCCCTGTTCTGCTCCATGTACAACTGATTGGCACTGCTAATTGACCGATGTGTGAGGATATAAATATATTAGCTTTCATACTGGCTTTATTGCCTAGTTGCTGGCCTACTAAAGAATTATCTAGCAAGTGTGTCTTGCAAAAATCATTCAGCATTTGCCACAGCTTGTGAAAGTAGACCAATTCAGATTCAGGACGCCTATATCTGTAATGCATTACTAAATCGCATTACTTTCGATCACTGTGTCGGATATTAGGAGATGAAGCACTTGTGTTTTCTCTACAGGCTTCAAAGATATGGCAGAGTTCGGAAGGACTGGCCACAACTACCACATACGTGGCTGGTCCCCAGACAGCAGCTCTTGGGATGAGAAGCTTTATCCTGCCTGGAAATCTGGGGATCCCAGATGGGAGAACTGCTGGAGAGGTAATATCTAAGCTGCCACCATACAGTTGTATCTCTTGCCCACAAGGTTTTTAGGTGCAAAATATGAAATCTGACTGAATCTTATCTTTCCACCGTTAAAACCATGGGGTACCAAATACCTGTGACTTCTTAGCAGCTCCCCTTTCTCAGAATTTATAGAATTTCAATGCAAAACTGGAAAGTGTGGAAATCTTCCAGTGGGAACACCTGTTCAATGACTACTGCCCCCAAGATGGTGGTTTCCTTTACTTTTGTTCTCTAAGAAGGGACATCTCCCCAATGGGACAAATACAGCAAAACCAAATCAATAGGGGGTTTTAACAATTTCCTGTTAAGTTCATTTTAACATTTGAGCATCAGGTATAATATATAAATAGCCCAAGGTCTACTCTTAGTGTAAGCTCTTTGTGTATATAGGTATTGCCTTCAGTTGCTATGACTGTATTTCGGCTTAATATGGTCTCTAGTAAATGGCCGTGCTGAATGAAGGTAGTATGTGACTCCCTTTCATTCTAGTGGCATCATGGATGTATAGAATGCCTAAGGTCATATTGTCAGCCTTGGCTGAAATGTGCAGCAGTTTGTGGAGGATAATGGCAGATATTTACAAATGGTGACTCCTTGTTATAAGCCAGTAGGTGCAGGTCCTGCTAGGTAACAGGTACCATTACCACATGTGATGTGCCTTGTCCTTATAACTGACTTTATTCTTCCTTTTAGGTGGCAAAGTAGTGGCGCTGTTGACCAGTGACAGTCCTGCACTGATAGGGTCAAATGTTAAATTTGCTGTGACTCTGCAGTTTCCCAGATGTCAAAAAGAGAATGAAGATGGGGCTATAGTTTATGAACGAGGGTGTGGAAATGGTAAATATAAGCATTTCAGCATATTTATTATTGTGATGCAGATGGCTGGCTTTCTCTAATCTGCTTATTTCAGTTACCTTTAGTGATCAGGATCAGTATGTCTATAACTGGACCAAATGGATACCCTTCTGTAATGAAGGAAACTGCAGTTTTCCCAACAAGTTTCCAGATGGAAGACCATTCCCTCACCACCATGAGTGGAGGCGCCATAACTTCATCTATGTTTTCCAAACACTGGGTTGGTATAGTCATGGGTTTCAGTTGGGTGGTGGGGGGTGTGTGCGAAGGAAACGTATATCTGCAAGAAAATTTCTGCAAGTGTTGTAAATCAGGCACCTGCCAGTATGAGCAAGCTTTTACAAACGTCTTCCTCGGTCAGTTTACTAGCTGAGCTTTGTCCAGTGAACAAGAGATGTGACCTAGGAAGTTGCAACTGGAACCTTTTATTGGCTGTGTAGTGTGGAGTTGATTAAATGTCTGCCAGATGACGACTTCTATACAAATGGTAGACATGCATGTATTTAGCAGCTTGCCTGGAGTTTTCGCGTCATACCGATAACTTCATAAAGGATTGTATTTGGGTGAGGAGTATTAAAATAGTAGTAAAGTCCTAAAATTATGCATTCATTTGTGATGAATGTTAACTGTAATCCTTCTGTTTAGACTGGCTATGATCACTCTTCACACGTGTATATTTACTTCTGCATAAACTAGATGGGAGACCTCAGTCACTTGGCACCTTGTTAGGAACACTTTTTTGTATGGGGCTTTTCTGAGTTTTTTGCATGCGATAACTCTACTTGGGGCGTTTCAAGTGCTTCAGTCTTTCCTTTCTCTAATTCCTGGGTCTGACAATCAGTTCTAGGAAAGTGAAGCTAAATGCTGTAGGAGCACATTTTGATAGGTGATTGAAGAGGGAGACTGACACTGGGGATGTTTTCTCCATCCAGGTCAATACTATCAGACAACTGGAAAATCTACGGCTGTACTCTCAATTAATAGTGTTGCCAGCAATCTCAGCATATAATCAGCATTATAAGGGGGTTTCCTGTCACCCACACTTGGTGAATTGAAGGGTTATCTTAGTGTAATTCAGTACACAATTGCACTTGAGTGACATTTGGTGCTTCTTGGTTTGGGGGGGATGCAAGGGCTCAGTATTAAAATACCTTTCATGGTGGTACATGTGTTACTTGTAAAGGGGTATCTACAATTTTTGGTCTCTCCATATAAGAACTGCCTGTTACAAATGGGGGGCCAAGATTTTTCTTTTTGTGGCTGGTGTATTTAAGATCTGCACCTGTCTTGTTACACTTAAAACCTTGCTCATGACTTGATACTGTGCACTTACTGTGTGTGGTGTTTTAAAAAAAAACATTTTCAGATCAAATTCCATTCTATGTGAACATATCCCAGGAACATGACAAGAATTCCTCTGACCACATCTTCATCAAAGATTCTCCAATTGCATTTGATGTTAAAATTCATGACCCAAGTCACTACCTCATGACATCTACATTTTCTTTCAACTGGAGCTATGGTGATGGCAGTGGATCCTTTGTTTCCAATAACTCGGTCTCCACTCATACTTACACCTTGTCTGGATACTTCAGCTTGAACCTAACCATCAAAGCTGCCATTCCAGGACCCTGTAAACCAGTTACACCTACTCCCCTTCCTACAACACAGGCACCAACTACTCAGTTGCCAACAACCACCATGCCTCATACCACTGCAAATACAACCGGTAAGTTGTTCCCAGTAAGGTAGTAGTTACAGGTTTGTATCCCATTGTGTAACAGATTTGTGAATGCAACAGAGTGGGACACCATAACTTTAAAGGTGGGCAGGAATACTGGTTTGATCTTGTTACTGGAAAGAAAGGTGCTCAGAAGTTGAGTGACGTTTGACTACCCTTGCTTTGGGTTAAACTGAAATGTGACCCCTTAAAAGGGATCTGCCAATGTTGACCTGTCCTCTTGCGAAAGCTGGTTGCTGGCTGTCATCCTGATGCTTTGATTTCAATGTAGTCTGACTCGCTGACCCACAAGTACAGTGAAGTGTTATGATTATCATTTATACCATGTTTTGTAGAGTGACTTAAAAGTACAGGAGCTGGGTATCTAGGATTCCCTGATGGAGGCTTGCAATAGTTCAGCTTCTACTTCTCTTTGTCCCTTAGAGCTACTAAACTGTCAAACCTAAAGCTTGTGTTTAAAACTTGTCCAATCTTACTTTCTGTCCATAGGAAACTCTGCTGAATTGCCACCCTTTGAAACGGAAACCTTTCCACTAACTACAGAAGAAGATAATGCTACTACCAATGCTATCCCTACTACCCATACTATCGCCCCAACCTATACAACTACAGTGCCCACTACCCCTGTTCCTGGATGCTTTAACTACAGATATGGCTACTACAACACCAAAATTACAGTTACAGGTAGGTTGCAAGAATCATTCGATATGTTTTGATTGCTTCTAATAGTCTCTACTCTAATGTTAATTTTTTTTTCTTCTCCCTCCAACTAGATGGCATCTTAAGTGTGAATATTATTGAAATGAACACTATCAAAGTGTCCTCCCAAGCTGAAAACGCTTTAATTGATTTTGTGGTGTCTTGTGAAGGCAGGTAGGTGTGCTTGAGGGGTGCTTGAGGGGTTTTTACAAACTGTTAAAGATGGGTTAGAAATGGGGCACTAGGCACAGTAGCAGCTTGGGTCCCCACCTCTAATTGGCAATTGCGATGGACACAAAGCTGCCCCTCTTCTCTATATTTTTTTTTTTTTTTTTTTTTTTTTTTTTTTTTTTTTTTTTTTTTTTTTTTTTTTTTTTACTAGTACAGCCCCTCCCACCTGGCAACTTTAAGTGTGTAATTGGTAAGACAAATTCAATTAACCTACTGGCATACTGCAGGAAAGTAAGGTTGCTGGGCCCTATGCACCTGCTCTGTTGGTAGCTAAATGTCTTCTATTTTCTTCCTAGCTTGCCTACAGATGCTTGCACAATTGTTTCAGATGCTTCTTGCATGATTCCTCAGAACATGGTATGTGATGAGGTCCCAGCTTCAGACCAGTGTCTACTGACCCTACGAAGAACATTTGCAGAGCCAGGATCATACTGTGTCAATATTACACTAAGTGATGATGCAAGTCTAGCTCTTGCTAGTACCCTGGTCTTTGTAGATGGTGGTAAGTGTAACGTAGTGTTTATCTTCAGATGTCAAGTGGGCAATATCCAAGTCCTGCAGACCTGTACTAGGCCACACATAGTCTTGGTGTTATGCCAGACACATATTAAGACATGCAGGACCCTCTTTCAAGGTCTAGGTAAGGTCTCAATGCACAAAAATCTGATTAACTATACACCGTGCATTAGATCTGTTTGCTAGGGCAGGTTCATTGGGGTGCCATAAATTGATGGCAATGCACACCTCTGCATTGGTTAGTGTTGGAGTCTTAGGCCTCATTCACACACAACGCAAGCAAAATTGTATATTGCGTGTATACGACCGTCTATGCTCGTGTGTATGTGTGCAATACATGCAATCCCAGAATGCATGAGTCGTAATGGAATTTTTAATGTGCTGTATACGCATCTCTGTTCCATTCTGTTTTTGCGCATATATATACGCTACGCAAATATACGGCTCCATGCGTGGCTATGTGTATGGAGCCATTTATTTGCATATGTTACAATACGCACGTATACGTGCGGCATTCTGAATGAGGCCTTAAATCTTAAAACTAAGTCATCCATACTACATCTTCACTAGAATTACTGGCCAGTGTATCTTTAGAGTAGATACTGCCAGTGGTGTAGCTGGGTTGTGGCTCTAATCTGTCTCTCTGAAGACAGTTTTAATCCTCTTGCTCAAAAGAACTGCCAATTAATTCGAAGCACAGCCTGAGGGTTACACACACGTGTCTTTATATTATCCTGTTGTAGACACACAAAAGGGGATGCCAGTAGTGTTATCTGGGCTCCATTGTGAGTTTTAGTTACTGCACTGCAAAGGATGCAGCTCCTTGACAAGTGCTAAATTGCATAACTCAAAAAATAGTGGAACCCAATTTCAATATACCAAGCTAGCAAAAGCTGATTATGCCACACCCCTTTCCCATTTTATTTAGGGACATTTTGAGAAGGGGATAAACTAAAGCTTTGTGTTGTCCTAGGCTCCGGAACAAAGACTATCGGTTGTCTTTAGGGAGACAAAGGAGTCCATTAGATTGCTGATGACTCCTCTGCCCTCCAATACAGACTATCGAGCACAGAAGTGTAACTGGCACTTCATCCAGCTTCTGACAACTCTGAAGTAGAAAACATTGAGCACAATGCTCCCTGCTTCATTAATCGCACAGCAGATCAGGGGATGGACTTTCTATGGTCCTTCTGCTCTCAATCCCGACATGGTTTGCTGTGGGCCCAGCCCCCCCCCATCATGTCCCGCTTTACAACTATCAATCTGTACAGATGTTCATAACAGCTCTTCTCAGCATGCAGTGACCGAATATATCCTTTAAAATTGCATGGTCCCTCACAAAAGGTTTTAAAATGTATTTTTAGGAAATCTGAAGCGTACAAGCCCATAAGGAATGCTACAGATGAAAGCGGTGGTCAGATCAGTGTGTACTTCAGACAAGTCAAAGAGACCTTCTTTCATGGAAACTATGAGCATGATCCACTTCTGAAAAACAAAGCTGGAATTGTATAGACCTGTACTGCTATGTTGTCCTTGCACTGCACTGTGTAAATGTACATCGTCTCAGATTGCTGGTACTGAGTAAATGTTCACAAGGGGTACAACAAATAAATGCTCCCTCCTTTTTAAAATGGTGTGTTTGGATTTTTTTAATCTTTTTTTTGTGGTCCCTTTTTTCTTTAGAAGCCAATTCTGAGAAACTACAACCTTTTTATGTTTGAATGCTAGCACAACAGTCTCCAAAGCAAATAACCTTTGTTTTAGGGGCTGCCTAGAATACCGCTGTAAAATACCAGAATTTGCTCACAAACCTTAATATGCTGCTATGGATATGTAACTTTATATAATGAGCTCCTTTCCCCCTCCAATCAGATGACCATGCTGACCAATGAGTGCTCGCCATTGTAAGTGAAATCCAGAATGCAGAGCTGTGCTGCCATATGGGTTAGACCTGTCGACTTTGGGCAGAACTCGCTGAGGAAGTTGTCATTAAACTGATTCAGTGTGGAACAGAGTGCAGTTGCCTTTTGGGGCAGAGGGCTGGCAGAAAGAGAAATCCTAGACATACAGGGCCAGATTCCCAACAAGTCTTCTCAGGACAACAGAGTTAGGAGAACAAAGGGGAGAGTCAGGGAGTGGAGGTTAATGGCACAGAGTATTTCAGCTAGACACTGAGGTGTCGCCTAGTATTTTTTTTCCAGTGGCTAACCCAGAGTTGGATGGCCTCATCACACCTGCATAGTCTGCTATAGCAACATCCCTGCTTACCAGTATTAATGGAAGACGCTCATGAAGCCTTGCAAAAGTAGATAAAAATCCATGTGACAACCTTCTGGGTTTCAAAGCGTGATTCCAGTGCTGTGTACCACTTATAGCATGACCACCAGCATGTTCCTACTAAACTGGAGTTTTCTAGCAGTCACTGATCTAAATTTGGTGGCTGAAGGTAAGTGACAGTAATGCCAATTTTAGTGAGAACATATTGATACATTACTAGTCACTGAACAAAATCTTACCAGTAACCAATAATAAGATGGCTAAAAGAAACAAGATTAATTTTTTGCTGAACTTATTTCAATACTTGACTATTGAAGTGTAAATTCAGTTGCTTGTTATATATTCGCCTCCTTCTAATACATTAAGTACTTGGTACAAACGGCTCCCTTAATTCACATGATGCAGATTTCACCAACAGCGCTAGGAGAGTCACACTGTTGTTGGCACACAATGCAGTGATATGGCTTTTCAGAGATGAATGTTAGAAGTACAAAGATGGGCACACCAAATGTGTGTGTGGGGCAATTTCTACTAGGCACCACCTAGTGGCTGTTAGTAAAACTGCATTCACTGAAACCATATTAAAAAAAAAAATACCTTGGTCATCTGAGCTCCCCCCACACTTTTTGCCAGGCTGACCAGCGTTTCTCCAGCCCTGGTAGACACTTTAAATGTAATAAAGCCAGTATACCAATAGTGGTTTTGGTGTAGAAAAAAAGAGAAACACAAATATAACAGGAGGTAGCTGTATGTCTCAAATGGCCGTTCTACAAGCCAGTGGAATACTTAAGACTGGAAGAACTTCAATAAACAGATGAATCAAAATTTGAGATGTTCGGTTCATCATGCAGGTTTTTCTATGCAGTCGAAGGTAAAAGGATGGCTCCTCAGTGTGTGACACCAACTGTAAAACATGGTCTAGGAGGGACTCTTTTGTTGGATACGTGTCCAGAATTTGCACAGAACCAAAACCACTGCCACAGCATTTTGCAGCTCCATGCAATACCCTCTGGCCTACGCCTAGTTGGTCAGGGGTCCATCCTACAGCAACAGAATGACCCGAAACATACCTCCAGGCTGTGTCAGAACTACCTTAGAAGAAAAGTGTAAGATGGTAGGCTTCAAACCATGGAATGACCAGCTTAGTCTCCAGACTTAAACCCCAATGAGCTGGTTTGGGAAGAAAGGGATAGAAGGGTGAAAGCAACCTATAAGTGCAACACATTTGTGGGAACTTCTGTGACAGTGATGGACTTCCTGAACAATATTTGATTTCTGTTGTAGAAAGAATGTCACAGGTGTGTTCGGCTGTTATATCTGCAAACGAGTCAAACATTTAGATTACAATTTGTTAAAAGATTCAATGATTTCTTTTGGATGTCCAATTGTTTTTTGTTCTATGCTTTATTCAGAGCACACTGACATTACACTGTAAATTTCAATAAAAAGTGGAAGAATGGGCGTGTTCTAAAACTTTTCAACAGTTTTGTAGTCATTTTTTCCATCTGCATACAGCATTTTCACTCTGGTTGGCCACAATTGAAGTATGGAATAGGCCTGGGGGGCAACAAAGTAACCAGAAATTGCAACTGAACCAAAACAAGCCTCCACTAAGCCAGTGAAGATTAAACCCCTTCATTTGTTTTACTTATGAAGTAAGACATTCACCTTCAGTATACACTATAAGAGTTAAGGGCACCACAAAAACAGCATGAATAATTGTCACCAGAAGGAAGTGTAAGGAAAATATAAACATTTTATTTTTGGATGCTCTTTTCAGCAGGTAAACATGTTTGGAACAAAGTTCTCTCAAATACTGAAAAACTATTTCACAGAAATCAGGACAGCATGGGCAGGGAGAGGACAGCATGGGGCCAGCATTAGACAGAGCTACAATTGGTGACCACACAAAGCTTCCACCACACCTGCTGGCTCCTCAAAGGGGGAGCTGCATCAGTACCAGGGATGTGCAGTCAGGGGAGGCCCCTAGTATTATGAAGACAAAAGGTGTCAGCTTCAAGTCTGAAGCTGACAGTTTTTTCTCCATTCAGATCGGCTTGTTACAGGTTACACAGCATGGAAAGCCTCCCCGCTTTGTAACCTGTCATGGATGGAGTGCTGTCTGTTAATTACAGGCACCGCTGCATCCAGCTTTTGACAGGTAATTAGGTTACACAACAGCAGGCTTCCCTACTGCTTGTGTAACCTAACTTGGTGAGGCAAGAGCTGTCACAGCCTCTACTTTGTGTTACGGATGTCAGACAGAGCTGCCTAATCAGTGGAAGTATCTCCATCAACCGATCACATTTATTATGGTGAGCTGGACATGTTGCTAGTGACTATGTTCATTTCCTGACACCAGTCTGGTGATGTCAGGAATAAAGGAGACACATAGATATACAGAGCTCAGAGATGAGGTGACAGTGATCAGATCCGGAGGATGGTGATCTCAGCTTTGTTAGCTGGCTTCAGGCTCTGGTGGAGGGACCTTTTTCTTAATAGATTTGAGGAGGCTTTGCTGCAGCATCGGGTAGAGATGCTGACATCCCTCCATACACAGCTTCGCGGACTTCCATGGGGCTATCTCCTTCCCATTCCCCGGCGCAGAAGAGTCCTGACACCTGCATAAACAAGATGTTGGGGATTTGCTGGAGTGTGCTGGTTGGTGACCCACAGTAAACTGACTATAGAGTACATATTTGACTTATAGGGTATATAGGGGGGCTGGGGAACAGGAGGGCAGAAACTCATGACTCATATACTATCATTAGGGATCACCGAAATTTTGCCCGCCGGAAAACATACACTGAGTGGCCAGATTATGACCACCCCATCAGTACTTCGTTGGGCCACAAGATAACTCCACGAGATGACTTCGTTGGGCCGCCTTGTGACTCCACGAGATGTTGAAAGGTGATGCGAGGAATCTGACACTGCACTGTTGCCCTTCTGTTGTCTTGTGCCAGTCTTGCCACCCTGCGTTCTGCCCTAACATTGACTAGTCGCTGGCGGCCACAATTCACACGATTTGGCCCAGATTTTCAGCTGACAGTCCAGTCTTTAAACACTTTAACAATGAGCCCCCTCTTGAACATTAAAAAAATTCTGCTGTTTTGCTCATACTCGCTCCATGGCTCGCGCCAACAATCATCACACGTTCAAAAGCTGTTAAATCGCGTTGTTTACCCATATCTTCGGGAAAAAATCACTTCTACTATTGTGGTAAACAACCTGCTTCCCTATTTATAATGGTCTGGCCCTCTAGCAACTTCAGCGCGAAATTATAGCTAATTATAGCTAATTTGCCTACAAACGTCAGGTGGTCATAATAATCTGGCCACTCAGTGTATTGGCCGAAAATGGCACTTTTGGCCAAAATTGCGGTGCATCCCTATATATTATATATCAGTGCTCCCCAACCTTTCTATCGCCGCGGACCGGTCAACGTTTAATATATGAGTCATGAGTTTCTGCCCTCCTGTTACCCAGCCCCCCAGCCCCCCTCTATACCCTATAAGTCATAGATGTGCTCTATAGTCAGTTTACTGTGGGTCACAGATCAGGAGATCGGTGCGGGGGCAGAGACAGTGGTCAGCTGTCACTGGTGACTGAGTCGGCAGAGAGGGGGAGGAGTCTGATGTCAAATGAGACCGAGCTCTCCTCCCCGCACCGCCTGCTCAACCTCCTGTGACAACGAGTCAGGATGTAGAGCGGAGTGCAAACAGCAAAAGGACTATCTACATAGAGAGCCAGCTGTGCACGCCCCCTCCCCGATCCGTTCCTCCAGTCAGCGCTGGAGGGGGGAATCCCTGCGTGGAACAGTGACTGACAGTCACTGTTCTCTGCAGCGAGATGATCGGAAAGTGAGCGAGCGACGTTATGTGTTTGCTCACTTTCCGATCAATAGAGCCGACGTCTGACAGTTTCATTGTCACACGACCACTCTAACTATGAGGATGAGTGAAAATCACTCACCTCATAGTTCTCCTTTAGGGCCGGTTCACACCACAAAGTCTGCATTCCAGTGCGTTCGGCCTCTGGAACGCTCTGGAACGCGGGGCGGGACGGGGCGTGGCGGTGCATTGAAGTCAATGGCACTGCAGCCACGCCCCCGACCACAGTGCGATCGCCCGGACCCGGAACGCAGGCACATTAGTGCCTACGTTCCAGTCCAGTGCGATCTGCAAAAATAGGGCTTGCAGTATTTTTCCAGATTGCAGGGAGCCAACCGCCTTGCGTTCCAGAGGCCGAACGCACTGGGACGTGGACTTTATGGTGTGAACCGGCCCTAAAGTTGCGCCCCGGTGTGCAATAAAAAATTGGTGCATGTCCAGTTTTATGTGCATAACACCTGATAAGTGTGAAGGGATTTGACTGAGGGCCTGTTGACACGAACTTATCTGCTGAAATGGTGCATTTCAGAGGACGGGTTAATGTGTGGTGACAGCTCCGGTGATGTGCGTTGTATCACACACTGCCGGAGCTGTCACTATTTATACTCTTTTTTCAACTTTATGTGGAGTGTACAATTGTGTACACTCCATTCAGGTCCCCACATGGCAGCGTGGTGCACTGTGCTGCCATGAGGCGGATTGCTGTGGCATGCATGCAGCATGTAGAATGCAGCATGTTTGCGTTGTATCACAGCACAGTGACCACTGTGTTGTAATGTGAATGGGACAATTGTTTTCTACGTGTCCTTGTGGTGACCGGCAAAAATTCAGCTTGCATGTTCTCTCCCCAGGCAATGGTAGGAATCATACCTCAGATATTTGAGAAACTTTGTAAAAATCTTAGATTCATGGTAAGTGACTCATAAGCACATGAGCGGTGAGGCTGGGCCCAGGACATAGAATGAGACATCTTTCCCTAAAGGTACCCATACACCTTACAATTATCGTTCGATTTTCATCCACGATCGCGGTTTC